AGCATTGGGATGCCATCTTCTCCACTCCTATCACCACGAGCTACCTATAAAGAAGAGAAAGTGTGTCATTTTAAAGTGGAAATAGGAGAGGAACAGCTAGAAGATGTCTTATACTTTTCATGAGTATGTTGAGAATTCACATCATTACCTAAAGTACCATTTTTGGTTGAAGCTGGGCTGTGAGATATTGGATCAAACTCTAGTGTTGTCGAAGTCTGTTCGCAAGTAATGCGTGTTGTAGTTGAAGTTTGTTCTAACATGCATTAGTCAATATTGCTAGGGTTGTTAGCATGTTGAATTGGGTCTTGCTTGTAAGTCCAATTGTTTATGTTAGCTTGTACCCTAAGTTGGCTTGTAATGGGTAATTGTTAAAAAGCCCATTAGGCTAGTGTGCTATTTTATTATAAATAGGATGCTAGTTTCTCAATCTTGGCATAAGGAAAAATAGGAAGATAAAATCCTAATTTCAAGGGAGAGAGGTTATTTTGTTATTCTTGTATACTTGTAATCTTTTTCTAAGAGAAAGGAAATAATGACAGTTTAATAACCAATCATTGTTGTTCCTTGGTGTTTTACCTTGTTTTCTTTGTTAACCCTAACCCTTGTGAGTTTCTTGATCATTAAGAAATCGTTTATACTTTGTTTAAAGGTATCCGATTCACAACAAATTGGTGCGGTGAGCATGGAGAAGATGCCTTCAACAAAGTATGAGATTGAAAAGTTCACCGGAGTGAATGACTTCAGTCTGTGGCGCTTGAAGATGAAAGCCCTATTGGTTCAGCAGGGTTGTTTGGAAGCGTTGAAGGGTGAGGCAGCCATGGACGTTGTATTAACGGCAAAAGAAAAGACGGGCATGATCGAGAAAGCCCACAGCGCAATATTGTTGAGCCTTGGTGATAGGGTTCTTCGACAGGTATCAAAGGAGACTACAACATCAAGATTATGGGTGAAACTTGAAAGTTTGTACATGACCAAATCTCTGGTGAATCGACTCTACCTGAAGCAAGCTTTATATTCATTCAAGATGAGTGAAGACAAAGTATTGGCTGAGCAGTTGGATATGTTCAACAAGCTGATTCTTGATCTTGAAAATATTAATGTGAAGATCGATGATGAAGATCAAGCATTGTTGCTGCTGTGTGCTTTTCCCATAACACATGCTCACTTCAAAGAAACTCTCTTGTATGGAAGGGAGTCCCTGACCTTTGAAGAAGTTCAATCAGCCTTGTATTCTAAGGACTTGAACAAATGAAAGGAGCATAAACCTTCGACGGTGGGCGAAGATTTGGCCGTTAAGGGGAAATTCTTGCGAAAGGATGGTAAGTTAGACAAGAAGAAAGGTAAAAGTCAACAGAAGTCTTATAGTGGCGAAACATCTAGTATTCAATGTTATCACTGTAAGAAGGAGGGTCACATAAGAAAGGTGTGCCCTGAACGCCTGAAAGATCATGGAGGTAATGGCAATGCAGCCATTGTTCAAGATGACTTCGACTCATCTGATGTTCTTGTGGTTTCAAGTGGCGACTCGAGGAAAGAGTGGATTATGGATTCAGGTTGCACTTGGCACATGACTCCAAACAAAGAATTGTTCGAGGAGCTATGTGATCAAGATGGTGGATCTGTGTTGCTGGGAAACAACAAATCTTGCAAAATTGCAGGTATTGGATCTGTGAGATTCAAGCTCCATGATGAGTCAATAAGGTTATTGACTGAAGTCAGGTACGTACCTGACTTGAAGAGAAATTTGATTTCTCTTGGTGAATTCGACAAAAAAGGATACGTTTTTCAAGGAGAGAAAAGTATCCTAAGAGTCATGAAGGGGTCGAAGGTAGTCTTGAGAGGCGTGAAGAAACAAGGCTTGTATACCCTTGAGGCTGAGGTTGTAAGTGGTTCGACAAATGTTGCATCCACGAAACTTATGTCGAAGACAGAATTATGGCACATGAGATTGGGTCATGTCAGCGAAAGAGGTCTGGTCGAATTGGGGAAGTAGAACCTGCTAGGAGGTGACAAAGTCGAAAAGTTAGAATTTTGTGAATCTTGTGTATTTGGTAAATCCTGTAGGGCGAAGTTTAACAAAGGCAAGCAAAGAACACATGGATCTCTAGATTACATTCATGCTGATCTTTGGGGGCCTGCAAGGAATCCTTCACACTCAGGTGCAAGGTATTATCTATCCATCGTTGATGACTATTCCAGAAAGCTATGAATATTCATTTAGAAGACGGAGGATGAAACTTTTGAGAATTTTAAAAGTTGGAAGATTCTGGTCGAAACTCAAACTGGCAGAAAGGTTAAGAGGTTGAGAACCGACAATGGCCTTGAATTCTGCAACGAAGCGCTCGACAATTACTGTGTTGGGTCTGGGATTGCAAGGCATAAGACTGTAGCAGGTACTCCTCAACAAAATGGCTTAGCTGAGAGATTCAATCGAACGATCCTTGAAAGGGTTAGATGCATGTTGGTTAGTGCTGGATTGAAGAAGGTGTTTTGGGCGGAAGCTGTTTCGACAGCAGCTTACCTGATAAATAGATGTCCCTCGACTGCCTTGGGAATGAAGACACCTGAAGAAGTTTGGTCGGGACATCCACCTAGTCTTGACAGACTGAGAGTATTTGGTTGTGTGGCCTATGCTCATATTAGGCAAGACAAGGTCAAACCTAGAGCTCTGAAGTGCATGTTCATGGGATACCCTGAAGGAGTCAAAGCTTATAGGCTATGGTGCCTAGAGCCAGGTCACAGGAGGTGTATCACCAGTCGAGATGTAGTTTTCAATGAAGCAGAGATGGCTTTCAAGAAAACTGATGATGCTGACGAAGAGCTGGAACAGGAAGAGATTCCTATTGAGGTGGAGCATGTTGATGCTGAATTGCTTACCCCAGATGAAGTCGAAGAAGACGCAGAAGATGTTGTCAAAGATGAGGAGATTGATAATGACTACCTGCTAGCAAGAGATAGGTCGAGGAGAGTCATCAAGCCACCTCAGAGACTTGGGTATGCAGATCTTATAGCTTATGCCTTAATCTTTGCAAGTGAGGTTCTAGATGAAGAACCTAGAGACTATAAGGAAGTTATGAGGAGTCGAAAGAAGACTGAATGGCTGAAGGCCATGGATGATGAGATGAAATCTCTTCATGATAACAACATCTGGGAACTGATCAAGAAACCTGTTGGAGCCAGGTTAGTCAGTTGTAAATGGATTTTAAGGTACATAAATGAGTCTCTGAATAAAGTCCTAATTTATGGTGGAGTCTTGGGTGAAGATAGTAAAGCAGCAATCGAAGGATATGTCGACTCTGATTATGCAGGTTGTATGGATTCCAGAAAATCTATCTCTGGATATGTGTTCACTATGTTTGGGATAAAATTAGTTGGAAATCAACACTTCAGAAGGTTGTTGCCTTATCAACCACTAAAGCGGAGTATATTGCCCTAACTGAAGCTGTGAAGGAAGCATTGTGGCTTGAAGGTTTTGCAAAGGAGCTAAAATTCAAGGTCGAGTTATCACTGTTAAATGTGATAGTCAAAGTGCAATACACCTGTCGAAGAATTCAGCCTATCATGAGCGAACCAAGCACATTGATGTGAGGCTGCATTTCATCAGAGGGGTAATCGAGCGTGGAGAAGTCCAAGTGCTGAACGTTTCGACAGATCATAATGCTGCTGGTATGATTACCAAGACGTTGCTCAGTTGCAAGTTTTTCCACTGTATGCAGTTAATAAAACTGCATGAAGAAAGCTAGTTTCTTCATGTTATAGAGTTAGATCCAAGGTGGAGATTTGTGAGATATTGGATCGAACTCTAGTGTTGTCGAAGTCTGTTCGCAAGTAATGCGTGTTGTAGTCGAAGTTTGTTCTAACATGCATTAGTCAATATTGCTAGAGTTGTTAGCATGTTGAATTGGGTCTTGCTTGTAAGTCCAATTGTTTAAGTTAACTTGTACCCTAAGTTGGCTTGTAATGGGTAATTGTTAAAAAGCCCATTAGGTTAGTGTGCTATTTTATTATAAATAGGATGCTAGTTTCTCAATCTTGGCATAAGGAAAAATAGGAAGATAAAATCCTAATTTCAAGGGAGAGAGGTTATTTTGTTATTCTTGTATACATGTAATCTTTTTCTAAGAGAAAGGAAAGAATAGAAGTTTAATAACCAATCCTTGTTGTTCCTTGGTGTTTTACCTTGTTTTCTTTGTTAACCCTAACCCTTGTGAGTTTCTTGATCATTAAGAAACCGTTTATACTTTATTTAAAGGTATCCGATTCACAACACTGGCAATGGAACATTCTTAACCAGCTTGGAATCTTTTCTCGGATTTATCAGTTGCATGACAATAATATGTAATTAAAAGGCCATTGCCCCACCTCAGACACATACATAACAGTGGCACTGTGCGTCAACAAAATTAGAAATCAAAGTAACTTAATCATATATTTATCATATAAGTAGTTACTGGCTAGAAGTTACTATGCTAATATGATATAGTGTGACAAATAAAACATTGCCAAACGTCTTCATGCGTAAGTTCAACGAAACAATTACGAACTTTGGCTGGCACAATTTTCAATCTGATTTTTACTGGAAAAACTACTTAGTTCAAAAATTGTCAATATCTTGTTTGAGAAGAATATATAGCTTTTGCCTAATCATGTTGAGGTATCTGAAACAACATTTTGGTTTCAAGTGTTAAGTTTGTGATAAAAGAATATAAAAGTGCACACATAAGTAGTAATATATATATATATATATATATATATATATATATATATATATATATATATATATATATATATATATATATATATATATATATATATATATATATATATATATATATATATAACTTTTTAATAAAGTTTGACAATTGATAATATAAAGGATGTTTCAAAACATTCACTCTAATAATCTTTACCGTATAATCTCCTCCAATGATAACAAAATAAATAAACTTCTAAACAAGATAAACTGTTATGTTGAACGACTTCAGCTTCCTCAAGTGGCTTTAACATTCTCTAGTGGTTTCAGCTTTCTCCGGTGACGTTTTCTTCAAAAAATTTCCCTTTGCCTTGTGCACCAAAAAAGTAAACAAGAATGCTATAGTGTTAATCACCACCAACACAATGAGTGAATTCTTCACACCAATACGTGTAGGATACCCTACAGCTGCTTTACTCTTGTCCTTGTTTTGTGACAAGTACATGAATCCATATGAAGCAACCATAGCCCCGAAAGTGTCTGTTGTAGATGATATTCCAATGCAAGTAAAACGGAATCTAGCAGTAAAAATCTCTTCCGACACAATAAATACAATGACATTAGGTCCAAAATTTGCAAAGAAGAAGGTTAAGTTATAGAATAGCATAAATACTATTTGTTTATCTTCCTTAATCCAATAATCATAAAGAAAGGTTGTCACAAACACAAACACTGCCATAAAGAAAAATCCTATCAATTGAATTGCAAATCTTCTCATCCTATCAACTAGAAGCACGGTAAACAAATAGCCTGGAAGAGTACTGCAAATATCCATAATTGTTTGAGCTCTTGCAACTAGATAAACCTCCTCAAGTGCATTCATAGTTTCTGATGGAGGTATAAAATCAACTGAGCTTAAGATATCCTTCTAGATTAGATTTTGGCTATAAAATGTCATATCAAGACAGAACAAAGTGATTGCTGTACCGAGAAGATGTAATCCATAGCGTCTTAGAAACTCTGTTGAGAAGAAACCAAATTTTTTTCTCATCTTCTTTCTTTGGTTCAACTTAAATTTCAACCCATAGAACATTAGACATTTCTATTGCTGCTTGTGTTGTGTTATCAGCAACCCGTGAAATGGGCAGTTTCTGACATCTTCATCCGCCAATAATAAGACAATGCAGCCGAGAGTGCTCCTGCCATCAAGATTATTCTCCAAATATAGTCGGCTTATGGGACGGTTGAACCATATGGATCAACCGCATAGGAAGGAGAGTCATATTTGGCTTTGAATATAGCTGCAACTATCATTGTAAATATACCACCGGCCAAATATCCAATCCCCTGCATGGCAAACACAGCAAAAATGAAAGCCTCTTTGACATTATAAGCTTTGACATTATGAAGCCGAAAGCAGGTAGTCTATATCCATACCAAATACAAGCCAGAAGCGGAAAAAACAGAGTTGATATGACATGTTTTGAAGGGTGACCGAAAGAAAGTCCGGATCCAAATGAGCCTATTATCATGGTCATCGGCGTCATGTTATAAACTTTTTTGTCATTGTGCCACCAATCCAACTAAAGAAAAGCTACCCTACAAAAGAACCGCAGAAAGCAACCGCGTATAAAGTAGATGATGAAGATTCCCATCTCAGCAATAACGATAGATGTGATGGATGTTAAGTTGTGCCATTGTGATCTTGCCATGGCTAATGGCAAGATCACAATGGCACAACTTAACATCCATCGTTATTGCTGGGATGAGAATCTTCATCATCTACTTTATACACCACTTTCTGTGTTTCTTTTTTAGAGTAGCTTTTCTTTAGTTGGATTGGTGACACAATGGGAAAGAAAAAAAAGTCTATAACATAACGCTGATGACCATGATAATGTGCACATTTGGATCCGGACTTTCTTTCGATCACCGTTCAAAATATGTCATAGCAACTCTGTTTTTTTCGCTTCTGGTTTGTATTTGGTATGAATATAGACTACCTGCTTTCGACTTTCATAATGTCAAAGCTTATAATGAAAAAGAGTCATGGTGCTTTCATTTTTGCTGTGTTTGCCATGTAGGGGATTGGATTTTTGGTTGGTGGTATATTTACAATGATAGTTGCAGCTATATTCAAAGTCAAATATGACTCTCCTTCATATGCGGTTGATCCATATGGTTCAACCGTCCCATAAGCCGACTATATTTGGAGAATAATCTTGATGGAAGGAGCACTCTCGGCTGCATTGTCTTATTATTGGCGGATGAAGATGTCAGAAACTGCCCATTTTACGGGGTTAGTTGCTGAGAACACAACACAAGCAGCAACAGAAATGTCTAATATTCTATGGGTTGAAATTCAAGTTGAACCAAAGAAAGAAGATGAGAAAAAATTTGGTTTCTTCTCGACGGAGTTTCTAAGACGCTATGGATTACATCTTCTCGGTACAGCAATCACTTTCTACTGTCTTGATATGACATTTTATAGCCAAAATCTAATCTAGAAGGATATCTTAAGCTCAGTTGTTTTTATACCTCCGGCAGAAACTATGAGTGCACTTGAGGAGGTTTACCTAGTAGCAAGAGCTCAAACAATTATGGTTATTTGTAGTACTCTTCCAGTCTATTTGTTTACCGGGGTTCTAGTTGATAGGATGGAAAGATTTGCAATTCAATTGATCGGATTTTTCTTTATGGTTGTGTTTGTGTTTGTGGCAACCTTTCCTTATGATTATTGGATTAATGAAGATAAACAAAATAGTATTTATGCTATTCTACAACTTAATCTTCTTCTTTGCAAACTTTAGACCTAATGTCATTGTATTTATTGTGTCGGAAGAGATTTTTCCTACGGGATTCCATTCTACTTGCATTGGAATATCATCTACACCAGCAAATTTTGGGGCTATGGTTGCTTCATATGGATTCATGTACTTGGCACAAAACAAGGACAAGAGTAAAGGAGTTGTAGGGTATCCTGTAGGTATTGGTGTGAAAAATTCACTCATTGTGTTGGGTGTGATTAACACCATAGCATTCTTGTTTACTTTTTGGTGCACAAGGCAAAGGAAATTTTTTTGAAGAAAATGTCTTGTGCGAAGAAAGGGAAAGCTGCAGCTGAAGCCACTGGAGAAATTTAAAGCCACTTGAGAAAGCTGAAGTCGTTCAACATAACAGTTCAACTTATTTAGAAGTTTATTTATTTTGTTATTATTGGAGTATATTATAAAGTTAATATTATTAGAGCAATGTTTTGAAACATCCTTTATATTATCAATTGTCGAACTTTATTAAAAAGTTATATATATATATATATATATATATATATATATATATATATATATATATATATATATATATATATATATATATATATATATATATATATATATATATATATATATATATATATATATATATATATATATATATATATATATATATATATATATATATATATATATATATATATATATATATATATATATATATATATATATATAATATTACTACTTATGTGTTCATTTTTATATTCTTTTATCACAAACTTAACACTTTAAATCAAAATGTATGCAAAGTTGTTTCAAATGCCTCAACATAATTAGACAAAAACTATATATTCTTCTCAAACAAGATATTGACAACTTTTGAACTAAGTAGTTTTTCTGTAAACAATCAGATTGAAAATTGTGCCCGCCAAATTTCGTAATCCTTTCTTTGAACTGAAGCATGAAGATGTTTGGCAATTTTTTATTTGTCACACTATCTCATATTGTGCCAGCCAAAGTTCGTAATCCTTTCGTTGAACTGAAGCATGATAAAGTTACTTTGATTTCTAATTTTGTTGACACACAATGCCACTGTTATGTATGTGTCTGAGGTGGAGCAATGGTCTTTTAATTACATATTATTGTCATGTAACTGATAAATCCAAGAAAAGATTTCAAGCTGGTTAAGAATGTTCCATTGCCAGCTTCAACCAAAAATGGTACTTTATGAAAGTAGCATTCATATTCTCTATGTTAATACTTTTGCAATATGTTTATCTAAGAATTCTATTTTACACAAGATTCTGAGGATAGGATTAGTTATTTTTACTTATAAAACATTACAAGATTCAAAATCATTTCAAAAGAAAGTAAAAGCACAACTAAAGACTATAACCTTCATACTACATCTGCATGCCAACCACTCTTCTAAGGAAGGTCATATAGTCATCATCAGTGTCTGATTCACTATTTTCATGTGGTTTATTATTATTATTATTATTATTATTATTATTATTATTATTATTATTATTATTATTATTTAGTTTCTTCATCTTTGTAATTGAAGTCCTTCCTACTACAAAAGCTCCAACAGATGAACAAACTTGTATTTTGGCACATTTAGTGGCCTTGTGCATACCATCTTTGTGCTTATTCTTCGCATCTTTGAGCTTTCAAACGAAATTGCTAACTTATTTGAAGGAATCCTTTTTAGAGTTCTCTGATGAATTACTCATGTCTAAGAGAGAAATGAAAAAGATCTAAATGGAAAATGGAGGATTGTGACTTGCTAGTAAAAGAGTTTCCTTTATATAGAGAGTTTTGGGATTGAGCAAAATTTGTTATAGTTAATGTGTTCCAATGGACAAAGGAGAGAGAATTTGTTTTGGTCTTCAGACACATCTTCCCAAGTTTAACTACTATTGGATTGAACCAACTCGAGAATTGAAAAGAAGTTGAGTATTCTAGCAAAATTGCCTTTATTTTCTTTTCCTAGCTTGTTTTTAATATGCGGTGTCCTTTCAAAGATCTTTTTTTAATGTTTTTATTGTTGTTCTTTTTTAATGTTGTGTAATAATGTCGTCTGACAAAAATAAATTAGTTATCTTATTAATATGTGATCTTATCATATCAGAAAAGGATCAACATTCAGAACACATCGTGATTTTTAATTCGTCGGTGGTGGAGAAGAGGAGAGGTGTACCTGCAAGGTACTTTGATGGCAAAGTAAGAGACGAAGTAGAAAGAGCAAGTACGGAGAAAGTGTGTACAGAATTGAATCCCTAACCCTCTAGTGAAAGATGGTATTTAATTATAATGTGTCTCCAACGATGGGCCAACGATTACTTTGCACTAGGTTGGATTACAAGACCCAATACGAGTAATTGACAGGACTTACGTGGCATAGGAAAAACCAGCACGTGGTCTTCGCCCTAGGTCAACTGCCCCTTGATCCTCGGAAGGTGGGTAGTTTCCTGATCACGTATCCCTGCGGGAGGGGGCACGTGTAGACTGTAGTGGAGACGCATGAGAGCTCCCTGTGCGTGTTGATGGATTGGGCCTTCAATGGGCTTCCCCGACGAGGAGGTGGATTGGACCGTGTCGATGATGGGTCATCCTCTGGCCCAATCTAGAACAGGAGACCCCAAGTTGTTGCTCTGAAGTTGAGGAGTGACTTAAGAGTCAGGTCAAATGTCGAGGACCTGTCCGGGGGAGTGTTGTTCGTGTCTGAAACATTGAACTTGGTGACGAAGTGCTTGGCCAGAGAACTGCTCGACATGTAGGAGCTCGCGGGGAGGCCTGCCCGTTAGATGTAGTCAGAGTTTTTTTTTCTGTTTCCCCGGTGGATGATGTGGCTGACGATACGACGAAAGTGGAAAGGAACATGCATCTCTTGTCACGAGCATGAGAGGGAGTTGAAAGGACGTGTGCGGTGTCTTCTAGGGCAACATGTCAAGAGCAATAAATGCCTAGTGTGGCTACGAGTAGAAGCAAGACTCTGCCCATTGAGGAATGAACTCAAATGGGGATTTATCGTATCCAAACATGGAAAAGATAACTAAAACAACCATCATCCACGAGGACCAAACTCTATGGGGAATTTAGATAGGGT